TCCTGGATTGGTTTCTGACAGATGGGGTTTGAGCCTCTGAGGGTTTTCTGTGTGGAGTTAATGTCCAGATCATCTGGATATTTCCCCCATTTTCCAAAAAAACGTGCAAGTTTGATTGATTTTTAGAAATAAAAGGCCAGTCTGTGCACTGTTGAGTGACAAAACGTGTTCGTTTTTGCTCATATAATCACATAATTGGCTTTCTACTGGAGAATAAAGATGGGGAAACCTTTTCCTGTGAGGGATTAACAGCATTTTTACAGCCTGGGAAGCAGAACACGAAGCCACCGGCGTGTCTCCACACACACTGGTACCAGGATGCCGCTCACATACTCTGCAGATCACAGGGATGCTAAGAATACTCTGAACAGTTTTTTCATGATCTGCTGGGCTTACGTGCCTCGTAAACGCAGCTGTTAATGGTCTGTCTGTCAGCTGCTGTGAGGAAGTGTCCATTTCTAAACGCTTAATGTCATTAAACTGCTCCAGAGGGTGCGCAATGGGCTTCTACGGGCTTAAACCGGTGGATTAAAACAGATTAAACTGAGACGAATGCACTGTTGATACATTAGAAAGATCCCGTTTTACATGAATAAACATGTCTAAAGTTAAGTTAATTCAGAAGTTCATATAGTTATATTTTATTTAATTCACGACTACATATTTAAGACATTTAGTTGAATCTGCTTTGCGTTAGTATAGATTCTCATTGGCTGGTTTAAGTCATGTGAGAAAAACAAGGAAGTAGGTGTGTTGAAGTTGGAAAACTTTACCTGTCTCCATCCTTTGGTTTCTCCTTCTGGATCCAACCACCTTTCAATCAAACCTTCATGTTAAATATGTTTAAAGATTTAAATGCTACTGATCCATAACATTATGACCCAATAGATAAAAGATCGTGTCGTATAGTGGCTGTAAAAGAGCGTCAAGAGAGGAATCTGGCCCTGAATTTTATGTTTGGAAGAAGAAAAAAATGGCCGACCAAAAGGACTTTGACATGAAAAAATGGGTAAATAACGTCCCAGCAGCTAGTCGGGCAAGGCTAATCTATTTGTTCAGAGGGTTATATAAAAGA